AACAAATATTAAGGAAATTTGTTGCCAGTATAACTGTCCTGCAAAAAATGTTAAAAGAATTTCTTTCAGAGAAGAAAAAATATATAGGTTAGAAACCTGGATCTATGTAAAGAAAGGAGGAGCATTAAAGAACAAATAAGTAAAGATAAAAATTGTTATTTTTCTTAATTGATCCAACTGATAACAGGTTGTATAAAATAACACAATTGTATACAATTATGTATGCTTTCACACACACACACACACACACACACACGTACATAGTTATGTAAGCTTGTACATAAGTAAAATGAAGTGATAATAATGATACACAGAACTGCAGGAAGGGAGAAAGAAATTAAGATTTTTTTTATAAGCAAATCACACTGGCCTGAACTGGTATAATGTCAATTGAAATAGACTTGGGTTAGTTATAAAAGTGTAGTTCAAATTATAGGGCAACTAGTAAAAAACTAACTAACTAACTAAATAAGTATAAAAAGCACATTCTCAGAAATCAGAGAAATTGGAGTCTCATAAAATGCTCAATTAACACCATAAAAGGCAGAAAAAGAATGGATGATAAAACTAAGAGCATAGAAGAGGAGGAATAAATGCAAAACAGTAAAAAAAAAAAAAAAGGTAGATATTAATTCAAATATATCAATGATCCCTTTGAATATCAAGAATCTAAATGAACTAATTAAAAGAGATTGCAAGAGAGGATCAAAATACAAGCACCAAGTATATGTTGTCTACAAGACACACACAATAAATATAAAGGCAAACATGAATTCAAAGTAAATGGATAAAGGAAAACATACACTAACAACACTGACCAAAAGAAAGCAGAAGTATGGGCCGGCCCGGTGGTGCACTGCTACAGTGCGCTGCTTGGGAGCACGGCAGCGCTCCCGCCGAGGGTTCGGATCCCACATACAGACCGGCCACTCACTGGCTGAGCGAGGTGCGGGCGCAACACCGAGGGTTGCGATTCCGTTGCCGGTCCCGGTCCGGTACGGGCGCGACACTGAGGGTTGCGATCCGTTGCCGGTCACAAAAAAAGACAAAAAAAAAGGAAAAAGGAAAAAAAAAAAAGAAAGCAGAAGTAGCTATACTTATTTCAGACTCAGTAGACTTCAAAGCAAGAAGTTATCAAGGATAAAACATGGCATTACATCAGGCTATAGGAGTTAGTTCTTCAAGAAGGCAACAGATTTTAACATGTATGTGCCTAACAACAGACTGTCAAGCTATGTGAGACAAAAAAAGAAAATAAAATCTGCCAACACAGCTAAAAAAACTTCAACATCCTCTATCAAAAATAGATCAATCCAGAAGAAAATCAGTGAAGGCAGTTAAACTTAACGAGATCTCAATATAATTGATATTTATTGACTACTTTATTGAAAAACAAGAAATAGATATTATTCTCAAACTTACATATGACAATTACCAAGACAGAACACATTCTGAGCCATAAAACATACTTTAACAGATTTAAAATAATGGAAATTATACAATGTGCGCTCTGAGACTACAGTGAAATTAACCTAGAAATCAATAACAGAATGGTAACTGGAAGATCCCCAAATAGAGTGGCATTAAACAAAATGCTCTAAACAATACATAGGTCACTGAAAAACG